GCCTCACCCAGTGGGGGCGCAGTGTGGCCCCGCCTCACCCAGTGGGGTGCAGTGTGGCCCCCCCCTCACCCAGTGGGGCGCAGTGTAACCCTGTTGAGCTGAGGTGAGAGTGACAGCCCTTGACATCAAGGCCACTTTCAACCGAATATGACATCAAGGAGACCTAGCAAAACTAGAATCAAAGGAGGCAAACGCTCCGGTGGTTGGAGTCATACCTGACACAAAGGAAGATGGTTGTGATTGTTGGAGGTCAATCATCTCATCTCCAGGAGTCTCTGCACGAGTTCCTCAGGGTAGTGTCCCAGGCCCAACCATCTTCAGCTGCTTCATCAATGACCTTCCCACCATCATAAGGTCAGAGGTGGGAATGTTAACTAATAATTGCACAATGTTCAGCACCATTCGCAACTCCTCAGATACTGAAGCAGTCTGTGTTCAAATGCAACAAATCCTGGACAGTATCCAAGCTTGGGCTGATAAGTGGCAAGTAACATTTTGCACCACACAAATGCTAGGCAATGACCATTTCTAATAAGAAATAATCTAACCACGACCCTTTGATATTCAATGGTGTTACCATCACTGAATTCCCCCACTATCAACATCCTGGGGTTACCCTTGACCAGAAATTCAACTGGACTCACCACATAAACACAGTGGCTACAAGAGCAGGTCAGAGGCTAGGAATACTCTGGCAAGTAACTCACCTCCTGGCTCCCCAAAGTCTGTCCATCATCTACAAGGCACATGTCAGGAGTGCAATGGAATACTCCCCACTCGCCTAGATGAGTGTAGCTCCAACAACACTCAAGAAGTTTGACACCATCCAGGACAAAGCAGCCCGCTTGATTGGCACCACATCCACAAACAGATGGATGGGAACACCAACCCCAGCAAATTCTGCTCCAAGCCACTCACCATCCTGACTTGGAAATATATTGTCATTCCTTTACTGTTGCTGGGTCACAATCCTGGAATTCCCTCTATAAGGGATTTGTGGGTCAATGCACAGCACATAGATTGCAGTGATTCAAGAAGGCAGCTCACCACCACATTCTCAAGGGAAACTAGGGATGGGTAATAAATGCTGACCAGCCAGCGACACCCATGTCCCATCAGTGAATTTTTTTTTAAAAAATGTCTCTCACTGCGTGAGATTCACTGTAGCCCTGTCTCACCGAGTGGTTACCGTGTAGCCCTGTCTCACCGAGTGGTTACGGTGTAATCCCGCCTCACTCAGTGTGATTAAAGTGTAATCTCCCTTCATCAATTGTGATATAGTGTTAGCCTTCCTCATTGAGTGAAATACAGTTTAACTCTCCTTCATCCATTGGGATATCATGTTCTGGTGGTGTCATTGAGCTCCAGACAGCTCCATCCTCACTGATGCCAGTCTTCAGCCAATTTGATTGACCCCACGTGATATTAAGAAACAGTTGAAGATACCAGATGCAGTAAAGGCTCAGAGTTCTGATAATATCCCAATCTTGTATTAAAGACTTATGCTCCACAGTTAGCTGTGCCCACAGACCAGCTTCCCCAGTAAAGTCGGTGTCCATGTGGCAAGGTGGAAAATGCTTAGGTATATCATGGCCACAAAAATGAGGACAAATCGCATTTTGGCCAATTATTGCCTCATCAGTTCAGTCTCAATCATCAGCAAAATGATGGAAGGCATCAACAACAATGCGGTCAACATGGCAATGATCTGCTCAGTTTGGGTTCTGTCAGGACCACTCAGCTCCTGACCTCACTACAGCCTTGGTACAAACATGGATGAAAGAGCTGAATTCCAGAGGTGGGGAGAGAGTGACTGCTCTTGACATCAAGGCTGCACTTGACTGAGTGTGGCATCAGGGAGCCTTAGCAAAAGTAGAATCACTGAGGATAGGGGAAGACTCTCCGATGGTTGGAGTCATACCTGGCACATACGAAGGTGTTCGAGGTTGTGGGAGGTCAGTCATCTCAGCTCCAGGACATGTCTGCGGGAGTTGGTCAGGGCAGTGTCCGAGTCCCAACCGTCTTCAGCTGCTTCATCAATGATCTTCCCTCCATCATAAGGTCAGAAGTGGAGATGTTTGCTGACGATTGCACAATGTTCAGCACCATTCGCAACTCCTCAGATACTGAAACATTCAATGTCCAAATGCAACAAGGTCTGAACAATGTCTTGGTTTATTTTCCTGATAATTGGCAAGTGAAATTTGGGTCCAGTAAGTGCCAGGCAATGCCCATCTCCAATAAGAAAGAACCTAACCATCTCTGCTTGACATTCAATGACATTAACATCACTGAATCCCCCACAATCACCATCCTGGGACTATGCCAGTGACTAGAAACTTAACTGGATTGGCCAAATAATTGGCTAATTTTCTGAAGAAGGGTCTAGGCCCGAAACATCAGCTTTCCTGCTCCTCTGATGCTGCTTGGCTTGCTGTGTTCATCCAGCTTTATACCTTGTTATCTCTTGGCCAAATAATCCTGTGGCTTTAAGGGCTGATCAAAGGCTGGGAATGTGGTGGTGAATAACTTATACTCCTGATCTCCATCCACAAGCCACAAGTCAGGATTGTAATTAAATAGTCTCCACTGGCCTTGATCAGCACTTCACAGAGTCATAGAGTCATGCAGCATAGAAACAGACCTTTTGGTCCAACTACCCACATCAACCATATTCCCAAACTAAACTAGTCCCAATAAGAACTGAAAGAACTGCGGATGCTGTAAATCAGAAACAAACACAGAAATTGCTGGAAAAGCTCAGCAGGTCTGGCAGCATCTGTGAAGAGTAGTCAGAGTTAACATTTTGGGTCCAGTGACCTTGAGGAAGATGCTGCCAGACCTGCTGAGCTTTTCCAGCAATTTCTGTGTTTGT